ATGAAGAGTCCTGTTGCAGGGGGGAGGGACAGGCGGGGGAACTATTGCTGCATCTGTTTCCGGAATTTTCTAAATTCTTGAGGTGCTACCCGGGAGGAAAAATCATGTTATTTTCTGTATGTTTGTTGTAACCTCCCCCAAACACCTGCCTGTCAGCCCTGGCTGGAGGCGGGATGTTGTTCTCCTCCATCCTCCCTTCTCCTGGATGATCTTGCACATCCCTGCTGTACTGGGCAGCGCTGGTGTCAGGGAGGCTGGTCACCAAAAAGCCGTGTGTATCGGGTAACAGTGAGGGCAGAATTGAACTGAACCTTCTGAGCACTTGTTAACATAATATACAAGCTTTCCTCTTGCTAAATTCTACATATTTAGACCAATATAGTATTCCTTCTGATTGCCATAACCTCAAAATCTTTTACATTGGAGAAAACACGTGCAGCCCCAGCAGCATAAAAATGCAGACGACTGCAGCATGGCCGACAGCAATAAGATCAAATCACGAATGTCTTCTCAAAAATGAGTCTTTGATGACTACATGGAAAAACACTAAAAAAAAAAAAAAATGTATGAAATTGTGGAAGCCTGAGTATGTCTTCCCCTGTGTTTGTCTCTTTTCTTTCCAAAACAAACCTTGGCAATGAGAGCAGCAGGTATTTTGGTGTGTAATTTCATCTGGAGTTATTCAGACTTCCACACCAATGGGGAGCAGTAGGGTCTAATGGATTTTTGGCTCAGCACATCACTAATCAGTGCACCAGAAATGTGCCCGCATCCCATAGTTTGTCTTTATACTAAAAACAAGAAAATAACCTGACAATGAAAAATCTAAGAGAACGGTGGCTCTAAGCTATCTTCGGTTTGTGTTTTCACACCAATATTAACCAGGGATTTCCTAGAGCAGAGAATATTGATTTTTATTTTTAATGTGAACAAACAGAAGCTGAAATCCTTCTGAAAGGAAGATCTAAGAAAACTTCCTTTTCATAAGTTTTCCAGTATTTTCCAAACAAAACTCTGCCTCAGCGGACAGCAAAGCTCAGAATCATGATTTGTAGCTGGGATCCAGCTGGCATCCCCTTCCCAGCTGCACTGGGAGCGCAGTGCCTGGGGCTCCTGCCTGAAAAACGCATCAGCAAGCTGTATGTTTTTATGGATCGTTTAGTTTTAAAATTTATTACCAAGGATGTTCTGCATTTATTTAAAAAACAAACAACCAAACAGAACCAAAGCAAAAAAAAAAAAAAAATCCCCTCCAAAAAACAAAGCACCAAACCAAAGGTGAGCAGGCCACACTGAGAAGCATGAAGGGGGTACTTTTTCGAAAAAGCTTTCTATGTGACTCCAGCCTTTGCTGGTCTTTTATTTGCTCTTTCTGCTTAGCTCATGAGTATTAAATATTGTCAGTGTAGTGTGCTCACAGTGCGGTACGTTAATATCAAACTTGGGTTTTTTGCTAGTAATCCCACTCACACTGAATTAGGAAAAAAAAAAAAAAAAATCACTCCCTTTGCATAATGGAGAAAAGTATTTGTCTCTTTCTACAAAGCTTTCCCAGGAGCCACTGCATGGTGATGTGGAGAAGGGGCCAGATAAAATTCCAGCTATTTAAGATCTTGTAGACCCCATGGAACCTGCAGGGTGGTCACGGCTCTTGTCTCACACAGGACAAAACCTACAGTCATGAGAAATCTTCCCCAGATCTGTTAGCACCTGAAATACAAAACCCACGGCCACTGAAAAATCTTCCCGGTGTCTTTCAACAGTGATGGAAATACACAAGATGTCAGTAGCTCAAACTCAACTTCCCACTCATGAAAACTTGCCCAATGTATGGATCCAGTGAATTATCCCAGTTCTATTAATCCTGTTCCAGGATTTCTCTCTGGTGTCCCCCAAAATCGATTATATCTACTTACACCTGCCATGTTCAGTTTATTCCAGGTGCAGCCGATCTCCATTCCTCTTTAGGGCAGGTTTCCTGGTCATGCTAGGACGCTGCTCCAAGGAGTAGGAATGCCTGGAGATTGCCTAACACACGGGAGAGCTGTGACAAAAATAAGAGGTGCTGAGTAAAGGAGAAGCAGGGGGTAGCACCCATCCGGAGGTGAGGACTTGCACAAATGTGAGATAGGCAATTGGGCTAACGCCACAGAAATCCCGCAGGTCAGCAACAGGGGGATGTCATCCCGGGTGGGAAAGCATCACGTGCAACCCGTGAGGAGCGACCTCCCTGTTCCACCCGGCAGCACCTCCCTGGCAGTACGGCATCTCGCCTTGGGCACGCTCGCTCAGGCAAAGTGTGGGTGGACAGGAGGACTTCCAGACACCACAAAAAAAACGCATGTACTCTTCAGGAAATGCGATGTCTGAAATGAGAACAAACTGAGTTTCTTTTAGGCTGACTTCATTTGGGTTAATGGAGACTGAGAGAAAGGACGCACAAGTCTTTAAATGGGTAAAATCTTTCTTCAGAGAGAAATTTAGACCTATTCTTCAAATCACCAGGGTCAAAATAAGTAGTAGTTTAAAACTACAGCACCTGTGACTGCGCAGGTAAGTGCGTGGCAGTGTGTTGCCATCCAGGTGGGCTGTAGGTCTCCCTGGAGCTTTGAAACCTCAAGATGGAGGGGTCCATCGGGACGGCCTGGGTTGGGCTGGCCCCGCGTCGGGCAGGCGGGTGGACCAGGTCCCCCAGCAATCCAGAACCACAAAGTCAAGCAGGCACGGGTCAACAGGGAAGCGAGCTGGTGTTTCTCTGAACGTCAGGGGTGTGGGGTCAGTGCCCGGCAGCCAGGAGACCCCGGGGCTTTCTGCTGGGGGTGGTGGTCCCCAAGGAGCTCAGCGGCACATCTGGACCAGCCTCAAATGCACCAGACACCTGTGAACTAATGGTGGAGAAATGTCCTCGGGGTTCTGTTGCAGTGTTCACAACTTCCGTACAACTTGAGGGAAGTGGTGGGAATGCTGGGGGGGGGAAGCCCTGTGTGAGAGGCTGACCTCGCCCCAGTCATAGTCCAGCTTTTGGCAACCTCCACTGATCGTGTGCCCATGCAGTATACTTTAATTTTCTTCTGTCACTCAGGTGATGGGGTTTTTTTGGTTTTTTTTTTTTTTTTGGTATTGTTTGTCTCACACAAGTTTTGCTTTTGTCTGGTTCACCTCAGACATTTTTAGCTGTTATTCTTTCGAACGCTTCAGAAGCACAAGCTGAGCTATGAACTTTGTGGTGCTCTGAGTAGGTGCTGGTGTGGAAGCAGAAGCAAAGTGTGACCAGTTTACAGCTCTTCATGTGACCAGGCTCACTCGAAGTTATGTCTTGAAAAGCCTTCGCTGCACAAAGTGATTTGTTTCTCGGGAGGAAGTAAGCTTATACGTCCCCGTTATTTTTACAGAGTGAAAAAGAAAGATCTGGGGTTTTTTCCTCTGCAGATTATGGAAAAGTAGTCATGCGAATTGGTTATACGCTTATTATCCACTTGAAATTTTGATGTCATTGGTTGAAAGTTAATGAATTTATGGATCGGTTTGATGTAATCATTGGGAAGAGAAAGCTGAAGGCAGAGGGTATGTTTGCTGGCTGTGGGAATTCATAGTCTGCCTGTCTGACTCGGGGTAGGATGTGAGCGGTGGGTGACAGAGAACCAGTTCTCTGTTTAATCCCCCCCCTCCCCAAAATGCGCTCACCCCATGCCGTTAAACACCGAGACGTGTGCCTAAGCGCTCAGAGGGCGCGCTTGCTTTCCGCTGGCTGCCACAGCTGGATTCCTGCGCGATGCCCTCCACATCTGGGAAAGCAGCCGTGGTGGTGGCGAAGGACGGGTGTGCGGGGAGGTGCGTGACAGAGCCGGGCAGCCTGGCTGCCACCCTGCTCTCCCAGGTGTCTGATGCTTCTTTAGTGTGGCTGGTCCCCGTAAAAGATTATGGTCTCTTACCGTGGCGCGCCGAGCGATGGGGGAGATGGTGAAAGAAGCAGACAAGAGGCAGTCAACATTTTACATGTGCATAAACACCTTAAAACAACATCTGGAAAACTGCTTGGGAAAAAAAATAAACAGATTTTTATTTATAAGTTCTGTGGTTTGGTTTTTATAGCGTTTTTACGATGCACATAAATTATTGTTTAAAAACAGAAATCGTAAAAGAAATTCCAGGGAGAAGGCAATTGTTGTTCAGCCTTTCCTTTGATAATCTCTTTCCTGAGGAATTTGTTGTGTTTTATTTTCAGCTTACAGTTGCCTTTTGCTGGCAACTGGAAGAACTGACAATCACTTTTTATCTTTGTTTGTACCTGTAGTTCTAAGCTTAAAATGTTTATTGCTGTTTACTATTTTAAAAGACAAAATATGCTTACTGAAACAAATCTGTATTTGGTATAATACTGGAAAAGTCATGCTGTTACGTGGTATTTATCGAGTTGGCTCATAATTGCGCAGGTAAGTTTGTTTTAATATGCAAAACAAGATCTGAAAGGCCATCTAAGCCTATGGGGTTATGGGGCATTTGCAGAAGGCGTGATGCAGGAGATAAGCAGTGGTGGCCCTGTCTTTGCTTTGGACCCTGTACCCCAACCCAGCTGCGGGGCGTCCTCCCGGCCGAGCCCCACGGGACCCCGCAGCCTTCAGCCGCCACCGGTGTTGGGGTGTACTGTGCTTTTTTCCTGATTCTCATGTCTTAAATACATCTCGTACGGCTCTAACACTTACAAATAGTTACACTTTATGTTGAGTAACTGAGTTGGAAAAACAGCTTTTTTCGGTATGGGTTTGGTATCTCCTCATGTCTCAGTTGTGTTTTTTACACCAGATACACAAAATATATATCAGATTCTGCTGTGTGGGATAGTTTTCACACTGCTGGAAGAAAACGTGATTGAATTTGAATCAAGCCCGAGAACTTGATGCGCCAGGCTGAGAGTAACGTAAAGCGTGCTGGAGAGAAGCGGCGTTAAACAATCTGCGTATCGAGATGCAAATATCCATTTTACAATTCTTTTTTTTCAGTTGCCCCCACAATTCAGGAACTTAAATCCAGCGGTGTGATGCTTGGAGGGAACGGACTGATACGGTGCGAAGGTGCAGGAGTTCCTGCCCCGGTCTTTGAGTGGTACAAAGGAGAGAGGAAGTAAGTAGCCGGCGCTCGCCGACCCCCTCGTGCTGCCGGGGATGCTGCCTGCCCGCGGGGACCAGGGTGCAAGAGGGACGAGACCACCGGGCTGGCTTTGTCCCCCGTGGTGACAAGTCCAGCAGGCTCTCCTGAAACTAATGCCGAGCTTTAAAAAGCGGGCGCTCGGAGGCATCGGCTACCAACGCCCACGTTGTGTGGCTTTTGGGGGAGTTTCTCTGTTTCCTTGTGGTCGTAGTTTCTGTGCTCAAGAATGAGGCATAAGCAGGCTGTCCGTGGCTGGGCTGTGATAATAATAATTGCAATCATCAGCCTAACGCTCAGCCATGCTTTAGTAATTACAGCCTTTTAAGTATAATAACCAGAAAGGCGCTGAAAAAGTCCACTAAAAGGATTTTTTTTTTTAATTTTTTTTTTAAATTCATCTTCATAGGTTTCCCGCTGAGGGTTTTGAGGGTGGAAAGGTTGTTTCATGAACAAGACTTTCAAGCAAACCTTAATGTGCATGAATTTTCACCCAGTTGTGCCACTAGCAGTCCAGGCCACAGGTTTATAGTTCGCAGACGTGAGCAGAGCTGCTGCACGTCACAGCATCCAAGAGGGGGTCAGGGGAGCACGCTCTGCTCAAACCCTAAAAACTGACCGTGTGCTCTGGTTTTGCTTACAGCCAGCTTCACTTTCAGTTCATTACTATGTAATGATAACAGGCATCTCTGTAGGGTCATCTTTATTTCAAAAGTCAGCTCATTAAACAGGTAGAAATTTTTCTTTTTGAATAGGGAGTTTTATTTTAAAGCTCTTAGCTTATTTAAGAGCTTGTTTCTGATAATTTTGCATATTGGTGCAAAGCAAGTGGGATATTGTCCCTTGTAAGCGACTGTCCATAAGCGCCTTCTTGCTTCTGGAATTTCCGGGCTTCCAAGTGCTAGGTTTCTCAGCTCAAACTTCCCATTAAACCCAGGCGTTGACATGAGAATATTAATGACCATTTTTCACAGAAAGCCATCTGTCAGCTCGTTTCTCACTGGCCAGCTGCTCCCCTTCAGGAGCATTAGCTGCTCATCTTCCTTCTTGAGTTTTCAGAGCAGTTGCAACTATTGCACTCTGACCATATCCTAAAGCAGTCTCTAAAACAATATAATTGATCTTTACTATATATAACAGCAAAGTTTTTTTCTTCTGTTGGCAAAATTAATCTGCATCTGATTTCCAAAGATGCATATGATATTGCACACACGTTGGGAGGAGGCGCAGGAGAAATCTCTTTTAGGTAGAAAGTATTGTGCACAGGTTTTAGCACTCTGGTTTCAATTAGCCATTTCCAGCGCCATAATCACCTTTCTATTTATAGCACTGACCAACTCCTTTCTTCGTGAGCGCACTCACTGCCATGGCAGCAGCAAGAAGGACTGAGCAGAGCATTTCAGGATGCCAAAGTTGTGCTTTCTGTTTTCTGTTGCAGTTGGTGTAAGACCTGAGTCTTGCTATAATCAGCAAGAAATGTGCTGTCCTGTTGTGTCTTACAGCTCAAATATTACATTAAATCTAATGGTCCGTCCTTTTTTATTAAAGTGCTGTTGACAGACATTGTAGACATATATGACTGCAAAGGTACTGGGGATCTCTGATCCTCCAACACCTGCAGGAAAGAGGAAAAGACACATCCATGTTTTTTTTTTCCTCCAGTGTCACCCCTTTACCTCTGGATGATGGAAAGCCAGCACAGCATGAGCTTTGGACAGCTCAGTTGCTGTTTTAATGCAAAACTGAGAAGAGTCAGCTTTCATAGGTAGTTTAGAGTAGCACGTACCTTATCCTGCAGATAATTTGCAGATATTGTACAAGACTAAATTTATATACAGGGAGTGTGCACTCTGCTATATTTTCTGCTAAGAGAGTACAGAGAGTCTCATTTTCTTCAGTTATTCTTGGATTGGGACCTCTTTTTTTTTTTTTTTTTGTAGATCTGGATGAATTGTTGAATAAATGAACAGTGGGAGTTAGATCTGAAACCCTAAGTATATGTTCAGTGTCTGAAACAAGCCTTTTGGGCCTGCAAACTGTATTGTTGTTACTTAGATTAATGTAAATCCAAGCCCACAGTTTCCAGACTCCAGGGATCACCTCATCGCAAAATAGCCATTAAAATTAAACATAAAAGCAGTTGCAGGCTGCATCCAGTTAAAACGACTGGTCTTGGAGGCAGAGGGCTTGCAGGACTAATTCTGCCCCATCTCCGAGCTCACAGGAGTTGCTGCTCGTTGACGTTCCGCCAGCGCTGGCGCACGAGTTTTCCCGCTGCCCCGGCCGAGTGCGAGCTGGCGGGGAGCGGGCAGGACAGACACCCCTGCTCTCCCTCAGAAGCTGGGGAAAGGCGAGGAGGGCTCCCACGGGCAAGGATCGGAGCATGTAGCACTTTATCTCTCAAAAGCAGTGCCTTGAACCCCACATGGGAGCTGCGTAGGCCCCCAAGCCAAGGGTACCCTGGAATGGCGAGGGTGGGGTGGCCTGGGAAGGGACTGGAAATCTGGGGGGAAAGTTAGTAAGAGCATCTTAACATTATAAAAGCGTGCAGCTTCTAAAACTGCACAAGGATTCCCTGTGGAGAGGAGAATGGCTTCACGGCGCTGACTCCTGGTTTCTGAAATTCATAACTGCTCAAGTATGTTATGTTATAGGGTTACACAGAAATTAGATCTCAGGCATTAAACAGCCACAGGGAAGAAGCCCAAAAATCACCTATCTGAAAATGTTAATTCCCATATCCTTGACAAAGCAAACAAGACCTACATTTGAAATAACAAAACTCATTATAATGGCTTATTATATTATAATAACGTGAAGGTATTCAAATAGGAAACCAAAGGTAGGTGCCCCTTGGGGCTGGCACTGATGCATGATCTTCTTTGGATGTGTAGGCATAATCTCGGGAATAAAAAGGAGATCACTCTTCCCTTTATAACTAGTACAAAGCAGTAAAGTGAGAGAGCGTGTAGGGTGGCTGCATGCAACTTAAAATGCCGTTCCAGCCTGAGAGGTAACTTAGTAAAACCCAGACAAGGAATAAACGCCGTGTTCAGTCAATCAGCTAAGCAGAGCTGCACACGGGAGTAATTAATTTAAAAGTAAAAGCATCTGGTTCTTACAACTGCAAATGGAAATCCTCAAAACTGCTGAGTTTATGCTAACTAATGCCAACTCGTCGGTCCGTTAATTACATGGCTTATTGATATGCATATCTATCCGATTCCATTTACTCCACCCTGGGAGAGGAGAGGAGGGGAAGGGGTCTGAGCTGGCACCCATGGCACCCCTCCTTTCGGCAGCCTGGGGAAGGCAGCAGAGCGCACCAAACAGACGCAGTTCATTTTTTTATATGAATGTCACCTTTGATGGGGCATGGGAATGGCAGAAATCCCAACACCCCCCCCCCCCTGTTTTCTAAACAAAATAAATAAAGAGTTAAACCTTCCAGCTGTAAAGTAGAGATGCTGTAGTTCAAGCTGCAGTTACGGGCCAAAATGGTGGAGGTGGCTTGGAAACATTTGGTAGGAAGAAGCCGTAGGTGGAAGTGGGGCCGTGCCAAGGTCCCCAGGACAGGGGTAGGGGAGGGGACAGCGGGGCTCAGACCCCCAAAGGCAGCGGGAAGGGGCACCCCAAGGAAAATGTGTGACGTGGGGCTGGAGCGAGCGCCAGCCTGCTCAGCCTCCTGTGGCAGGGGACCCTCGTAGCAGGGGGGGATTTGGGGGAGGGTTCTGCAGAAGGAGGTGGGATGGACATGGGCGGTTTTAGAAGGAGAACATCCACGTGCAGAAGCACACGTGTAGGTTGAAAGGACAAACTTCTGCCTTGCACAAGTCTGGAGAAAAGGTGAATCTTCTAACTGCAGGGTTCACCCCAAACCAGGCGTTTCAGTCCCCCCTTTTTTTTTTTTTTTTTCACATTTCTTGCAAAACCACGTGTGTCCACGGGATGCGCTGGTGTCCTCTCCCCGACGATGGGCTGTGTGGAGCAGAGTCCTTCACAGCAACACGAATTGCACGGGGAAGAGAAACCCCCGTATGTGCCGCAGCACAGAGTGATTAAATGGAATCAGGGTCACCACAATACGCAGAAGTACAATTAATGATAGACTTGTAATGTTTTTAGACAGAATGCTAAAAGATTGCATTCGTTCCCAGGATAGATGATTATATCTTTCAATATATCAAACAAAAATTGTATACTTAATCTGGAGTTCTGCTCCTTATGTGAAATACAAGGGATTATGTGTAATCAACTGTAGCTAGTATTTTAATAACACGGTTACCCTTCTCATCTCCTTGTCCGATCAGACGTGGTTTGCCTACAACAGCGACATTTCAGTTGGTCACCTTTCTTTGCCCCAGTGAGGCAGCGGTGCCTCTGACACAGCTTTGGAAGCAAGATCAAAAAGCCTGCACAGTTCCTATGAAATTTGGGGTGGGAAGCTCAAAGCCAGGGCAACAGAGCCGGGTGGAAGAGCCCTGGTTTGGCCATTTCCCACGCTCCGTTACTGGTTTCTGTTCAGGCTGCTGTCTCAGGACGCAGTGCTGCTGCACCACTTCTTTCCTAATTGCAAGTCTAATTTGTAGCTGTAGAGGCCTGTAAAATATGCTGTGGTCACAATCCTCTGCAGTCCCATTTCTGGGTCCCTAATCCTCATCTGCCATCAGCTGGAGGTGTGTGAGGACACAAGCAATCTCCAGAGTCTGACAAAACACCCTCTGGAAGACTTACCATGATACATTTCTGCCCCAAATAGGGTATTCAAATCTTTAGTTAGGTTTGCCCAATTTAAAATCTAAGCTCTGCATCTGAGAGTTTATATCCTATCCTGTGGGCAGGGCCGTGGGTATCAGTCTGTATTTAATTTGACTGTAGGACAGGCAGGCAGAAACTGTTCCCCTCAACAGCTCCAGTGTTGCCCATGGCCTCTCCAACCTCCTGCTGTGATAATTTTGCACGACAGACTACATCAGCAGCTTGAAAACAGCTTACTGTGCTACCAGTTATGTTTGTAAAAAAAAAAAAAAAAAATTTAAAAAAAAAAATTATTGCTTACAGTATATGAGTTACAGAAACTTTCTTTTTGCTTTCTAGACTGATCAATGGTCAACAAGGAATTACTATTAAAAATTATAGTACAAGATCACTTCTTACTGTTACCAATGTGACAGAAGAGCATTTTGGCAACTATACATGTGTCGCTGCCAACAAGCTAGGGACGACCAATGCCAGCCTGCCTCTCAACCGTAAGTAACGTGGACATGTGGCAAATGTTCATGGTTGTTTGTTTCCACACACATGGATTCAAAAGCCAAAAAATAGTAGTATGCTGTTTTTCCCTTGGTTTCTTCACAAGGCATATAAATACCATTTGGATCCTTAGTACTGGGAAATAATGCACCTGGTTATTTATTCCATGCTGCAAGAGGGTTTCTGTTCTGAAAGTGGTGGCGCATTTTGGGGGTATTGATGAGTTGTGAATCTACAAAAAAAAAAAACTCACGACTAAACCCAACCCGCTGGCATGGTAGAGACAAAATTAGCATGACAAAATCTTTCTGCTCTGAGTAGCAATAACGGATCACTAAGGTATCACTGTAAATAAAGTTAAATACGTTCTCAGCTAGCTTCTGTAAGTATGCTGAGCTGAATAACTGGGCTGTGCCAGAGCCCTGCTCACAGCTCGGTTTGTTGATCATCGGCCTCTGGTACAGAGAAATCATGAAGGACTTGAAGTGAAATCTGTGGAAAAGACAATCAGCGCCGCAACAGGCAAAGCCAAGCTTTGAGAGTTTTAGCATGAAGATTACCTAAAATGGGTCTCAAATTTTCTGCTTGAAAGATTATTTTTATCTGTGAACTTGTAGTATTTCACATTTGTTGAATATCTAGCCATCTGTTAGTGGCATCTGAAGTTGTTCGTGGTTGAACTTCGGCGCTAATCTGTTCTAATAGTGATAAAACTGAAAGACAAAACTTAGAATATATCCTACACGCTTTTCTCAACTTAAAGATATCCCTTACTGAGTGAAAATGTAGATTTTCAGTCACTTAAATCCCAGGGTTATTGCTTTGTAGCCATGAAACTTCCTTCTCAATATACTTCCTATATGATATGTATTGTCAGGATATTCTAAATTGCTGCAGAAGATATGTAATAAGGAGAAAATAGCATGAAGCCTTTGTTGCCATTTTATTTAATATTTGAGAAATCATTAACGACATGGAAACAACATTACACTTACTTTAAACAGAAAACACAAGGAGTGAAAACAAAGGAATATTATGCCAGAAGCAGATAGTGTTTGGTGTATTTGCAATTCAGAGAAGGTAAAATGAAGGTTTGGTTTAATTTTGAACAGAGCAGAGCTGAATCTGTCTCTTAGTTGCTGCCAGGTTTTTGTCAGTTTTAAATTGTTGAGGTACCATGTAGCCACCCCTAAAACCCACTTTGAGATACAGAAGTTGAAAATGTCATGTAAGTACAAAGCACATTGTTACAAATCATAAAAGTAGGTATTATCCATCATGAAAGAGATGGGATGTGTGAAGCAGAACCGTCTGAGAGAGAATACTGAAATCTGGGTCTGATCCTGACCTCGTGGAATGAAATATGGGGGTGAAGTTAACTCAGAGGTTTGACTGAAACACCAAGATGAAGTGTTTTATTTTATACTAGGATTTTTTTAGTCTAGTCAAAACAAGGAGAGGTTTCCAGAAGGTGGTGATGTAGATTTAAGTTGGGAATGAAGATCATTTGGTGGAGTTTTTCCTTGCTCATAGTTTGCATTAATGTTAGCTAGGAAGAGTATTGCTTTAAAAATAAAATAAAATAGAATCGCAGAGTAGCGACTTATTAAGTACAGACTCCTTAATCCTTCAGAGAGAACTTTCTCTTGTGAAATGCTACTTACATTTTATTTTGTTGGCAATGATAACTGAGCATGTGCACAGGTACGTGGGGGGGAAGTGTTAGCTGTTAATGGTTGGCTGGTTGCAAAATTTGATAGTCAAGTGTAGGGTTAAATATAATTTGATCATCATGTTACTTGGCAAATGTTAAAAATTAGATGTCGATGTCTTATTTCAGCGTGTATCTTAAACTGTTAATTGCGTTGGTGCGGTACAGCCTGGGATGCGGGGGGGGGGTTGGAACAGCATCGTTCGGGCAGCTGCCAGTAGCGGCCGTGACTCGGGGGCCCCGCCGCACGGGGGGGGGGGACCAAAGCGCTGCCACAACACGCGGGAGCTCCCCAAATCCTGAGGGGAGATGCCTGCACACCTCCGCCGCTACGTATCGGCACCTTGCCCAACATCGCGAAGTGATTGCTGATTGGGTGTTTCTGTCTGCTGTTGGTTTGGGGGTTGGTTGGTTAGTTTCTTTTTTTAAAGAGAAATGTGTATAGCAGAGTTAGAAAATCTATATTTTCTTTCTTTGCACATCCCTGTGTAATATATAAATGACATCATAGCTGTGCACAGCTGGGAGCCTTTCTCGGGGATGGAGCTAAGCGTATTCTCCACTATTGGTGTCTCACCCTATGCAGATATAAAACTCAAGGATGACAGAAAAAGGATTGTTTCTTCTACCGAGGGCTCTGGCTTTGCGTGATACATAAAGGCAACCTTGAGCTGATAGAAAGTCATAAAGTGGGTAAAGGGGTGTCAGGACAAGGTAAAAGCTGACTTTGTGTGTGGCTGCAGCATGAGGTGAGCGAAGGAGATGGTCAATTAATGGGGCTGTGCCTGGGGGGTGGATGGGGCAGAAGGAGAACTTGTCTGGGGGTCTGGCTGCTCACCCACAACCAGAGCATAACCCCACTGCTGCTGTGAGCTGGGGATGCCTGGCAAAGGTCACCCAGAGCCACTTCTGTCCCAGGGACAGACAGCCACATCAGTTTGCAGAAGAACCTCATGTCTGGGGAGTTTTGAACGTCCCAGATCCCGTGAACATAATGAAATTTATCATATCCCTAACTGAAGACTTGTTGGCCATGCCTAAGATCTAGCTATTAATAATAAATTCAGCAGCTGTAAAATAGAAAGACTGAGCCTTGCGGGAAAAATACAGAGAAGCAGTGGTTCCAATAAATTAATAATGAATGGCAATTTGCTAATTATTCATGGCTAAGTCTTCTGTATCATCCAAATGTGTTGGTTTTTGTGGGTAATCGTACCAAGTACGCGATCCTCCCAGAGCACCCGCATGAGGAGTGTCTGTTGGACAGTCCCATCCTGCCATCTATGGGCCTAATTGATCAGATGTTTAGCACAGCCTGCGCTGGCTTTTCCCAGAATTTCTGGTACTTAAGAAGAAGAAGAATGTAATCTTTTCCTGTAAATAAAACATGGATTTGCTGATTCGTTAAACCCAGGAGATGAGGTGTTACGGTATGTACCCAGGGCAAGAGGTTCCATCTACAGGGGCAAGGAGCTGACGGGGAGTGGAATAGGCCTTTTTTAAGACAAAAGGCATTTTCCTCCAAACAAATTTGCAAGGCCATTGCAAGGAGAGGGAGTTATCATTAACCACGGGCACAAAGGTAGGCTTATGCAACCGTTTTTCTCAAGCAGCCACAGCTGAGATGGTCTCTATCGCTGCTTAAGCAGCAACGTCCTTACCGAGGTGGCTCCTGTCCTTGCGCTCTACTGGCCAGAAGCCACAGCTGATAGTGGATTTCTTACTTTCTCTTATCAAAGCTGAGTCGTGGCAGAAGGTTCTTCCTCTCTTCCATCAATGAGGATGAAGGTGGAGCTGTTGCTCAGCCCCTGCTCCCCGCAGCGGGACATGGGTTGAGGTGCTGGAGGTCCCGGGGCAGGCACAGGGCTCAGCTCTGCTCCGTGGCGCAGGAGATCCGGGCTCTGTATCGGGCTGCAGGGTGCCTCCCTTTGGTATCCTGGCTCGGTCAGGGGTGCAGTGCCAACCCCACGCCTCTGCGAGCCCGGCAGGAACAACTGTCCTCATCTCCTCTGCCCGAGCACTTGTTAAATTAGAGCAGGAAGCAGAGTGGCTCTTGAAATCCTGCATTTTTAATCTGCATGCAGATTTAATCTATACATCTATAGAAACGATGAATCTACTTAAGAGACTGTTCATAGAGGCATTAGATTCGCTGCCACGTGTGTGATCTCTGTGCGTCCCCTGAAGAGATGTCATCCACAAAAGTCTCGATTCATGTAAGCCATCACCTCCTGGAAGATGAAAATAATGATTATTTCTCTAGTAGACATGTTTGTGTTTATTCTGAAGTAAAGGTATTATTTTTTTCTAAAGAGCACCTCCTAGACATTCCCTAGTATTTTCAGGAATGCTATAAATAACTTGCCTGGTAAGTGATACCTTTCTTAAGAAAACTTGCAATACGAAGGAAGCATCCATGTCCGCCACTGCCAAAGAAATTACTTCCTTTAAATGGGTGGTTATATCACCCACAGGTGTTACTGATGTTCAGGCTTACACAGAAATCTTAGACATGTTATCAGTAATGATTCAAAAACTTAAATAATTGTGAAGAGCTGCAGAAAAGGTCAGTAGCGACATTTGGAAGGAGAAGGAACATAGCAAGGTGTGTGAGAGATGTGATAGTATTTTCTGTGCTAATTTAATTGCTGCAGCTAAACAGAACTACTTTATTGAATAAGCATCCAACTGTGAACTTATGGTGAGTGCAACATGCTTATAAGCTGGTCTCAAACATTTCTACATGCCAGGAAGCACCAGACCGTGCCCTCAATTTATATGTGTTGATTGCAATGTGTCCTCGTTCCTACATAAAGATTTCTAATTAAACTGCTGTATTCATAGTTTTAAAACATTGGGGTTTCGTGTCTGAAATGCAAAAAAAAAAAAAAAAAAAAAAAAATATTCTTCCAAAAATTTAAGTTAATTCACTGTATATTGCACATAACATGTAATAGTATGCATGGCCCACAGTAGCACTATGTATAACTGGTGTAGTATTGGCTATGTCTACTGGAACATCAAAGACCCAGAGGTATTGAGAGTACCTGCAGAGTGCTGTAATGGTCTTGCTACGACACATCTTCTGAATAAGGGGCTGGGCAACCTTTTTCCGTGGTAATTTCCTAGCAGTGCCTCCTGCTGTGCCAAGTCACAAAAATCAAAGGAAAACTAGACTTAAGGGGACTTCAGAGATCACCTCAGCCATCTGAGTGGGGGCACGCTCGCAGTGCTGGCCGTCATTCCTGGCAGCTGCTGGACTTGCTCCTCTTGACCCATAGTGAC